ATATGTAATACACATAATTATCTAGATCACGAAAGTACTAATTGAAAAAAGTTTGGTCCACAAGTTGTCTATGTATATGCACTGGTATTCTTTCAAAATTATTTTTATAGTTAAGAGATATAAATTTATTCAGCAAAGACAAATAGTTATAAATTAAAAAATCATGACAAAATAAGCTGATTACGGATACTACAGATCTTTAATTTAGATTTCAAGTCAATATTCTATTATCATAGTCAAATGACGAATTTCTTTTTGGTGGTTCAAACCTCAAGTAACCTTCGGCATGAGGTACCTCCACATAAAGCCAAGGACATATCCAGATGAAAATCGTCCTAACAAGCCTCAGGTAATGTTCAAGCTAAATGTTGCAGATTATAATAGGTAGCATTCAATTTTCTACCAGCGTTAAACAGAACAAACAATACAATATTTTCAACAATATAAATACGTTATTTATTTGTGTCCTTTAAAAAGCCATGAAATCGAGTTGTATGTAAACATCTTTATATCATATGAAAAAGAAAATGCGTATGCAAAATATTATGGCAAGCAAATCATAAAAAAAGAAATCGTATTGTCACATTTGTAAAATCATAAAAAAGTGCAATAAGGACTTTCATTACTTTTTGCAATAATAGAAAACACTTTTGTATCTGAAGCTGCTTTAGTCATTACTGTAATTTCTATTTCTCTAAGCAAGGCTTAAAATTAGACCTTTCACTTTTAGAGACAATTTTATGTAATGAAAGCAGATGTCTTACTTTACTTTATTAGCTGTTTCACAGAAACTTGTATCAATTCTCTGTACTTGTACAAAACCGGCGCTTTAATCGGACACTATGTCTTTCTGTGTAATATATCACAACACATTAAGCCGTTTATAGTACAACCTTATTTTGGTAAAATCCACCTTTTCACGAGACGTATACCCTTAACGTGTCAAGGTGATTTTTTCGGTGGTGAAATTGTTTGTCAAATTGGTTCTTCTTCCATTGATTTTGTTACCAGAAGTACAATATGTCAAACTAAATGTGTGACTGTTTTAGATTGAATCAATGGTTAATGTGTTTCTAAGATTACACTTTTGACAATGATGTATTCATGTTCTTTGTTGTATTATGTCTTTAGCATTATATAAAATGAATTGTTGATTAAAGAATTTTTATTTTGCATTTGTTTGTATATCTTTACTGACACAAATACTTCATATAAAGATAGAAAGATGTCTTTTATCTTTTTATAGTTAATGAAATTGTTGAATTACTAAACCTTTTTTTCCACCTCTTTCTTTCTTTAACCAATCTTTCAAGTGTAAGGATTTCTTACTGCGGCTTTTACATTAGATTACCCGAGCACTTATATTTGTTAGTTTGTATTTGTCTTAGTGCAGACTTAATGTGTCTTGATGTTAATAGATTTGCAGGAGGTACTAAGACGTACTAATCTTGTTTTATTACATCTTGTTAACATTTGTATACACAAAATAATTACAGAAATGCTGCTCAAAATTTTAGCAATCATTGAATCCAAATTACTCCGTATGCATAATTCTTTCAAGGATGAGCTGTCTAATATATTGTTCAATATTTTCCTTGTCTGGGTGGTAATCATTATGATTCTTGATGAAATTTACATTTTAATCAACATAAATCAATTTACAAGTGCTTCGAAATGGAATATATTCATTAATCACTCGACTAGAAAATAAGATTATTATTACTATATCACTATTAATAAATATAGAAATTACCTTAAATATTATTAGTAGTAACAATAAAGAGTTTTGACAGGCTACATGATCGTATATACTAGTAAACAAAAATCTATACGAATAATTTATAATACAGCAAACTTCCTTTTTTGAGAAAAAAATAAATTGACTGTATAGTATACATTATATGGTTTTTATATATTACATATTCATCCAATGAAAAGCGTTATTAACGACAAGTATTATACATCACATAAAGAGTCAGGCAATCTTTTCGCATTCGATCTTTTTTTTATTCCCTGTAAAATGTAATACAGATATCTAGATCATTAGTTAAAACGTTTAGTCCACGTGTTTTCTATTCTTATGCACTGGTATTCAATCAAACTTTATTAGAGTTAAAAGATATAAAATGGTTCAGCAAAAACAAGTTATAATAATAAATTAAAAAATCATGTATTATAATAGATAAGCTTGACACAACAGATTTCCAATTTAGATTTCGAATCATTACGCCACTGTAAAAGTCAAATAACGAATTTTCATCTTGCTTGTTGAAAACACAAGTAACCGTCCATCCATTATGTCCGGCATGAGTAACCTCCATATAAAACTACGAACTTTTCCAGAGCATCTACTTGTTATCTATAACATTGTTATTTAAATGCTACATAAAAGATTCTCATAAAATCAAATAAAATGTAGAGAAATAAAGATAATAAACAAACATCGACAGTGAAAAGTTGTCGACATCACGTAACCGAACAACCCTAAATATTATTTTATGCTAATTCCGTCAGAGAGTCAGGCAAAATATTTATATTCCATCTTTTGCATGCCGTGTTATATGTAATACACATATCTAGATCACGAAAGTACTAATTGAAAAAAGTTTGGTCCACAAGATGTCTATGTATATGCACACGTATACTTTCAAAATTATTATTATAGTTAAGAGATATAAATTTATTCAGCAAATACAAATAATTATAAAAATAAATAAGCAGTTTACAGACACTGCAGATTTTCAATCACTACGCCACTGTAAAAGTCAACTTTCGAATTTCCATCTTGCTATTTGAAACCAAGTAACCTTCCATCAGTTATCTCAGGTATACGGTGCCTCAATATTAAACCACGAACCTTTCCATGTGATAATCGTTTTAACAAGCCACCAGAAGTTTTCAAGTTAAATGTTGTTGAAGCCAAAATAATCTAAAGTCAATACTGTTTATAGATCTGTAAAAAATAATACTTCCCACAATTTTGATTGAGGCAAAAGCATATCAAAATTAAATTCGAAAATATAAATGTTTGTATTGTTCTATTTAACCAAGTAGTAAATACTCAAAGATTTTTTTAATCGGTAAAACTAAAATCATGCTGAAATGAATATTAAATGAATGCATAAAAACTACCTATTAGTAAGTTTCAATTTTCAAATGACGCAGAACTGTTTACATGTATTAAATGGACTTTCAAAAATGTCTTATTCAGCTTGCAGAACTCGGGTATGATATAATAGAATTATAAACCATGTCTGAAAAGATTTTAACAAACAAAGCAATCATAGAAAATTAGAAATATATAAACAGCTTCTGTAAGAGTTCCACACTTCGTATTATTAGACTTACATTTACAGACGTTGAACTAAATTGGTAACCAGATTATACACCCAATTTGTCACTAAAATCACGTTTGCAGCTTTTCTATCACAACCTCAAGTGCATTTCGCAATATAAGACTGCGCTTTCAGCAAACTAATTGGTCACATATGTGAGGAGTCTAAACTTAATACATTTTGGATGACATTACGTGCAACTTATTGAAGGGGATATGAGAAGAACAATTAGAGCAAAATGTTTTTATCAGAATGTCACATAATGAAACATTTATTTTTTTAAAATCTTATTTGAACATGCATTACAAATCATTGTTGGCTTAATTGAGCTCATAATTAGTAAAAATAGATAGGTACAACCTCTGAAAACTGCGGCAGAAAATTGATTCGTTAGTCTAGTTGCCGATAGCATTGCTTTTATAATAAACATTTTTATTTAAATGTGTAAAAAGACACGCATAGTTCTGGAATTTTCTAATGCATCGATATTATTTAGTATAACAATTTGAAATATTCATGTGACTAATAATAAGACTTATCTGCGAAAATCTTATGAGCACCCAAGGCTAAATAAATAAATAGAAGAAATACTGTAATGTTCAAAATTCTGAACAGTTTGGCGTAAATGTCAAATTAAAACAAAGCAAAGGACCACTGAATCAAATACTTGATTTCCGATGTCAGAGGGTGAGAAAAATGTGCAGCCTGACCGGGACTCGGACCCGAGATCCTTGAAATACCGTCCCGTGACTCTACCGAATGAGCATTTCCGGCCGCTTACACATCATCTCCCCTAAATATTGAACAGTTCTGAACCGTGACATACTCCATTGCTATATTGAAATTCGTCCTCGAATTTCACAGAGTTACAGAGCAATGTAAACCTCTGAAAACCGTTCCGCGCTTCCACTGCCTGAGAGATACATCTTCTCCCCAAATAGTGAACAGTTCAGAACCGTTACAATGACTACATGTTTCATGTGTTTGTTTAAATCAAATTGAAATAAAAATCTTTTTACAACAGACTTCTTAATTTCACTGTGCAAGAGGAGAATAATTCTTTAATAATCTTTAAATATGAACGAATATAATTAATATGACAATTACAGTTTAAAATAATTATACTTTTATTTATTTTATACTTAATCCTTATCTTGTTGAAACTGAGAGTGATTTACCTTTACCGCATGCATAGAGCCGGGCCAGCAGCTTCAAATCAAATCTGCCTAGGCTCTATACTTATCGAAATTTTCATTTTGATGTCCAATTGATAGTTCAAAAATGGAGGTTGGACAAGTCCATTTAAGAATTTCAGAAGGTTCAGAGGGTTAAAGTATAAACCTGTAAAATACTTAATGCAAAACAATGCTTAATTTCTGTCTTATATAAGGGAGCATACTGTTTTCATTTTATACAAGTAAGATTAAGTGAGTGTTCATTCCCTTTGGTTATAGTAATGATGAAATCCCTCATTCGGCAGCGTTTGGTTTTCAAATATAAAATCATGAAGTGTACATTTACATAAACAATATTCTTAATAAATCTAGTTGTGCACTATAATAACATTCAAAGACTGGTATAATATGATCATCCTAAAGCACCATAGTTTAAAACATTTTAATACCAGTTTCAACCTTCAGTAATAAAGTTTAATTTCGTAAATAAACTTACCCGACAGTACCATATGGATTCCTTCCGTTAATTTCTCACAATTCGCTAAACTATTAACACCGGAAGTAAGCTCTTCAATTAACTCCCCTTACTTCCGCCACGTGTTAAAGATGTCAGTTTCCTTTTTTCGGCGACCAAATCGGTCGTGTTTTTTCACATTCTTCGCTTTAGTTATGGCTCAACTGTTTGTTGATACAAATAAATTACCAGAGGAAGGTGAAATTCCTCCTTCGGACTCGGAGTCGGGTACTAATACGCCGAAAACTCCACTTAAAAGACGTTCCAGATACGATGTTCTAGAAGAACAATGGAATCAAAAATTCTCAGCTCTGGAGTCGAGTATTTCGGGTAAATTGGATGGATTAGTTGCCAAAATCCAATCTGCTCAATCTCAGTGTAACTCTTCTTCGTCTAAATTTACGGAAAGACACGTGAAGAAAAAGAACAGTGTGCATCGTTCTAAGTTCGAGTCGGGCTCAGATTCTCTGTCGGACAGTGATTCAGATTCTAATCATCCTGGCTTGAACAGTGATATTTTGTCTATTCATGGAGATAATTTTTTGTCAGATGAAGACAATGTTTCTATTAAGGGGAAAGTCGATGAAAAAGAACTTTCTGATTCAACTAAGAAATGTCTTTTTGACATTTTTGGTGAAGATGCTACAGTGAAGAAGTCCACCAAGAAGGAAGGTATTTCTGTGGACAATTCTCAGAAAGACGTCTTGAATGACAGTCTACATTCAACTTCTCCTAATTTTCTCTCTGCGTTTAATGAAGAAAATTTTGATTTATTTCCGGTGGATGAAGAAACGGAAAATTTTTTGCAAGTTCCTACACTTGATCCTTTAATAGAAAGTTTACTTGTTAACAGACATGGCAGTAAAGCGGCTTTTAAGAACAGTCAGGTTAAATGCTTGTTTTCTCAACCACATAAAACTGTAGAAAAAGTTTCTTACCGTGGAGCCCAAGCAGCTCGTTTAGGTATTGTTATGCAACTTTATATGCAACAAGCTTTGGGAAATTTGGTTGAATTTGTTTCTTCTGATGACTTTTCAAAAGACAAAACAGTGAAATTTGTTAAAGACATTTTTGCTATGTCCACGAAGTGCCTTGATCAATTGGGTCGCTCCGCAGCTTTTCATCACATTGTACGTCGTACAGTAACTATGGCAGATACAGGCATGTATGATCTTTCCGATTACAAAGATTTTGCTACTTTACCTTTAACTGGTGATGGTGTTTTTGGTAATGGACTTGAACCTTTATTAAAGGCACGGAAGGACAAAAAGAAGCAGTTAGATGATATGTTACCTGAGCTGAAAAAGAGAGACAGGAAAAGAAGGCTCTCACCTGTTCGTTCTTCAAATGACACTAAACGTTTACGTAGGGCCATTCCAGCAACGCAAACAAGCAGTGGCTGGGACAATAATTTTCGTATCCCCAAGATTCCATCAGATAGTCATACCAAGGGGCAACATTTCACTGGACAGTACAAGAAAAATTCCAAGCCCGATTTCTTTCCAAAACGTTCATATGGAAGGAAAATGGGAAGATCAACTCAACAATGACCATGTTAGTACTCTAGCACGTTTTCCTCAAATTCCGGTAGGTGGTCGAATTTCACTTTTTGTAGAAAATTGGAAGAAAATAACAACAGACAAATGGGTTCTAGATGTAGTTCAGAATGGCTACAAACTATAATTTCTAAAAATTCCACATTTCTTGGGAATAAAACACATGAAAGTACCTTTAGATCAAGAAAATTTAATTCAAACAGAAATAGAAGAACTTTTATTGAAAAACGCTATAGAAATAGTAGACAAATCTCAGATTCTTACAGGTTTTTACAGTACGTTGTTCCTAGTTCCAAAGAAAAATGGGGAAATGAGACCTGTAATAAATTTAAAGCCATTGAACCGGTATTTGAGGAAAACTCACTTCAAAATGGATACTATGCCAAAAGTTCTAAACCTAGTTCAAAAAGGAGATTATGCAATAAATCTGGACTTGAAAAACGGTTATTTGCATGTAAAAATGTTCAAGGGTCACAGAAAAGATCTTCGTTTCTGTTTCAAAGGTCAGGTGTACCAATTTCGAGTTCTATGCTTCGGCCCAACATCATCTCCAAGGGTGTTTTGCAAAATAATGTCTGTCATAGTAGCACATCTCAGACAACAAGGTCTTTTTCTAACATCTTATCTGGACGATTGGTTAGCTGCCAATCGGACATTTTCAAAGATGATGTCAGATCGAAAGATTATTCTAGATCTCCTTTTTCAACTAGGGTTAATAGTAAACAAGAAAAAATCCTCTTTAGTTCCTTCTCAGATTTTCACTTACATAGGCGGCCTATTCGATATGACAAAGGGGTTAGTTTATCCAACACAAGAGAGAATTACAAACCTGAAACATGCAGTTCTAAAATTGTTACAAGGCTCGATTTCAGCAAAACAATATATGATTGTGTTGGGTATGATAGCCTCTTGTCTAGACTTAATTCCAAATGCAAAGTTGTTCATGAGACCCATACAGCTTCATTTGCTCAAGACTTGGAGTCCGGCAAGAATGCCTTTAAGTTTCAATATACCCTTAACTCATATGCTACGATATCATCTCCATTGGTGGTTACAGGATCAGAACATTCTAAAGGGAAGATCTGTTCAACAGATTTCCTTTCCAGTATCTGTCACCACCGATGCGAGTGGGACTTGGGGCTGGGGCGGTCACATGAACAACTTTACAGTGCAAGGCCGTTGGTCAAAGATGGAAAAATTACAACACATAAACATTTTAGAAATGAAGGCGGTAATTCTGACAGTCCGTCACTTTCTGTCTGCTCTGAAAAACAAGAATGTATTGATACGATCGGACAACACGTCTGTGTGTCTGTATATAAATCGACAGGGGGGCACTCGTTGCCCTACACTTTGTCTGTTAACTTGGGAGTTATGGGAACTGGCATTGAATCACAACATTGTGTTGAAAGCAGTTCACATAATGGGGAAATTGAATTTTCTGGCAGATTTTCTGAGCAGACAGGAAGTGAGGGATACAGAATGGAGTCTGAACAAAACAGTGACATCTCAAATTTTCAATATTTGGGGTCAACCTCTGATAGATCTCTTTGCAACTCAAGAGAACAAACAGACAACACTGTTTTGCTCATGGCTTCCACAACCCCAAGCGTTTGCATTGGATGCCCTGTCTATTGCATGGCAGAACATGTATGCATATGCGTTCCCGCCAATACAGCTAATTCCGAAAGTTTTGAACCATATGAAATTATTCAAGTGCAGACTGATTTTGATAGCCCCAAATTGGCCAAGACAGCACTGGTTTCCACAGCTGTTGAAATTGTTGATAGCAAAACCAATAAAACTCCCTGTGTCACAGAATCTATTGTCACAATACAAGGGGAGAATATTTCATCAAAATCCTCAGAGTCTAAAGTTGACTGCATGGCTTCTATCGACAAAGTCTTCAGATCAAAGGGATTTTCTGAAAGAACAAGAAATTTACTTGTCGCCTCATGGCGAAAAGGTACAAGAAGAGATTATAATTGCAAATTCAGAAAATTCAGTAATTGGTGTTGTAGACAACAGATTGATACGTTTTCAGCTTCTTTGAATGATTGTGCTGAATTTTTGACTTACCTTTATGACCAAGGGTTAAAATATAAGACTATTACAGGTTATCGGTCTATGCTATCATCAATTTTACCTCCTGTGGAAAAATTTCAGATTGGTCAACACCCCTTTATTATTCGCCTTCTTAGAGGCATTTTTAATGAACGTCCACCTATTAGAAAATAAGTTCCTGAATGGGATTTACCTCTTGTTTTAGAATGCCTGAAGAAGCCACCATTTGAACCGATGAAGGACGCATCTTTGAAGTTTATTACATGGAAGGTGTGTTTTTTGATAGCTATTTCCTGTTTTCGTCGTTGTAGTGATCTTCAAGCCTTGTATTTGGGAGAAGGTAACATAAACATTCAGAAGAAAGGAATAACTTTTATACGTTCAGGTTTAGCAAAACAAGATAGACCAAGTAATCATTCAAGAAAGATTTTCATTCCATCTTTTTCGAGGGAAAAATTTTTAGACCCTAAGAGGGCTTTGACTTATTACTTGAAAAAGACTGAAAGTTTTAGAGTTAAAGACTCTAAAAATGAACTTAAACTTTTCTTAAGTGTTATTAAACCTCATCATCCAGTGACAAGTCAGACTATTTCTAAATGGTTAGTTAATATTATTAAGTATGCTTACAAAATGAGTAAGAAATCTACTGGAAAAATTAAAGGTCACCAGACTAGAAGTATTGGGCCTTCCTGGGCATTGTTCAAAGGTGCGTCGTTGGATCAGGTACTGGATGCGGCAGATTGGTCTTCAGAGACCACCTTCATTAAACATTATCTCAAAAACGTAGATACAAGTGTTTTGGATTTCAAGTAAATGTTGTTACAGAAGTTATTGTTTTTCACCAAGGTGGTGTGTACAAACTCTTTGTTTTTCCGGCGAATTGCGACTGGATGTTTTTGTAAATTTGAGTATTTACGGTTATTCTTGTACAGTTGGGATGAACTTATATATATTGTTGTGCAACTGTAAATAGTGGGTTAGCAGTTATACATGTTCAACTGGTATTGTTTTACTTAACATGGTGTGGAAATATTGGGAAACACTTTAGGTAAGTGTTTAATGTGTCTATTTTTCATTGATATTAAAACAAGTTTATGTTTTATTAATGAATGTAATAGATAATTTTGAAACTTAACTACCCACCTCCTTTCAGTACTGCTTTTTAATCTGGGTTAATCCATATGGTACTGTCGGGTAAGTTTATTTACGAAATGAAAATTGAAAATTTGTTTTCAAATTTAAGTTTTATGAGTAAATAATACTTACCCGACAGTACACTACCCACCCTAACCTACCCCTCTCTGTTAAAGTTTCAGGGCGATTTGGTCGCCTCATTTGAAACTGACATCTTTAACACGTGGCGGAAGTAAGGGGAGTTAATTGAAGAGCTTACTTCCGGTGTTAATAGTTTAGCGAATTGTGAGAAATTAACGGAAGGAATCCATATGGTACTGTCGGGTAAGTATTATTTACTCATAAAACTTAAATTTGAAAACAAATTTTCAATTTTGACTGGTGATGTCACTGAAAATTTCAATCTGTTCCGAAAACGATAGACTACACAAGTATTAAAACATGTTTGTGACGTCATCTGTACATTTATGTGTTCATTGTAATGATAGGTGAGAAAGTTTCCAATATTTGCTAAAAAGTATCCAATATTTAAATATTGGATACTTTTCCATAATGAACAGCTGCATTTTTTTTCGTGAATATAATGTCTCAATAAAAAAACAATTGAATGTACTGAGACAATTCAAACATCTGCAATAAAAGTGTAAACCTTTAATACTTAAAATATAGATACTAAGTTGAACCTTTAAATTTGAAGATTATAAAAGTTATGTTTCCATAATTTATTATTTAGGGCTGATATTTCTTAAATTCTGAAAGACACGGAATTCATTCTTTGTTTGTGAACAAAATAAAACCTTTACCATGTTTAACATCAGTTTGTGTTTGATTTTACTTAGAGACATATTAACTGAAAAATCCTATAAATGAAGAGTTTTCGGAGTTTGTCCTTAACTAATATGTTGACATCTTTCGGAATAAACAGAATAGGTCAATCTTAACGAAGACAATTGTTACATATTCTATCTGTGCACGTGCGTGTAGCATACCTTACAACGGGATTTCTATCCGAAAACGAGGACTCGTGACAAACAATAGAGGAGAACTGTGTTATGTATAAACACATGACTTCTTAAATCAAACACAACATACACGTGCTCACATCTACACGACTATTTAATCTCTTTACATACCCAACAGTAAATTAAGACAGCCTTTATTTAAGGATGAACATTAGGGTTAAAAATCATGTTATTCACAAAATTGTATTATACTATTAAAACTCATTCAACTTTCAAAACGCATTGTTCGAATTCTTTCGGTAAATTACTTTAAAAAGATAAACAATCGATGTACTGAAATATAAGTCCATAATATATCTATTGATCACGACAAAAAAGTCTATAAATAAATAGTAAATTTCTTACCAATACAAATTACTTCAATATGTTCATCAGTCAGCAAATAACACTTTTGTCCCTGGTTTTGAAAATAAAGAACATAATTTGAAAATAAAACCTTCCTGTATTAATGGATGACAAATAATAACAAATATAGTGTACACATGGGTTTCATATCAAAATCTTTAAAAATCGCCCCTTTGTAGACCATACATTTTGCTTTTCATATGCAAATTTGCAGTTACCTTCTGCAGGAGAATCCTATGCAAAATTCAATTTTTATGGAAAAGGACACAAATAAAACTAACACGGGATTAGATATAATAAAGCAATGATAAATGGGTAGAGAAATAAATCATGGGTGGTCAGCAGTTTTATCACTTCGTGGTCAATTTATTTTAAATGGTAGTAAAAAAAGATAAGATGTTAATACTCTTTATGAAAGCTAGGTATCAGTCATTGGTTGTTAACTTTCGACATAGACCGTGTGTTTATTTTTTTAACTACTGCTTAAATCTTAGGCCATCAAATTGTCTCTTTGATATTAATAAGCAGATTACGGCAATTTAATTCATCTTGCACATTTTATCAAGATATTTATATTGTTTCATATTATTGTCAGACCTTTTTTCCCCGATAATATATAGCATATGTGTTGTTGATTTTTAACTTATTACTTTTTATTTTAATTAATAATATTACATTAAATACGAAAAAAAAGAGGGGAACGATTTTTTTTTACTTATTTCTTTATAATAATGTAAATAGAAGTCCGCACTTTATTTCAAATAACGAGTAAAGTGGTCGTGCTGGTATTGGCAGTTTTTACTCCGGATAACGGCAGTAATCCACAATGAATTTTCCAGTGCAGAGTTCAGCCATCGCAACGTTTCTGAGGAGGCTTTCAAGCAGTTTACCAAAACTAGTTGCCTTCACTTTCGCAAGGAACTTCAGTGCATACCAGAGCCGAGTTACATTGCGAATGACCGTAGAAATCACAACGAAAATGACCTGCGCCGTCCGGGATCGAACCCGGGTCGTCCGATTCACTGTCAAACGCTTTACCTATTGAGCTAAGCGGACGGCATTATATGAGAAAGTGCATACTATCATTTATTTATACTGGTTTTTTTTTACTGATTAAATAAAATTATCTACCACATTGCTTTTCCGCTCTATTTTGTAAGTAACCACCTTTTCGTCACAATATAGTTGTGTCTCTTGGGTTTCAATATTAGCTTGCCTTTTGTATTCCATTTTTTTTGTAGTCATGTGGATTTTTTGGGACTAGCTATATTTGGATATTTCCTTAAGTAATCTGTTTTGTGATACTGTTTAAGGAACTTACTGGCTTCCTTATTATATAGAAAGTACTGTGTGGTACGGTACTGTCGAGTGTCCCGTATGGTAAATGTCGCTTTCCTCGGTTGATCTTTACTTTTCATATTTTACATGAGATGCATTCAATCAAGATATTTATAGATACTGTGTATAAATAGATCTACTTTATTAATATGTATATCCTCCTTATTACAGCTAATCATTAACTTGTTTCTGTTCTATCAAATATGTTCTATGACACAATTAACGAACAAGGTACACTATTCAAATTCAGTATCAACACTCCTCAATATAAGCAATCGTTGGATTCTGGTTAAAATCTGATGATTTTATGAATGCTTGTTTGGTTTTACGGCGAACCAACACAGTATAGATCATATGGCACCAAAAGAAGAAAGATAATTTTGACTATCCTCGGGTGTTTCAACTTCAAAGCAACACTAGAGGTCAAAACCACCCTACCTGCTAGAGCTAAGAGTTGCATAGACTCCAGTTATTCTAACCAATTTAGTTGTCTCTTACGCCTCAACCATTATATGCTTTAGTTGTCTCTTTCATGTATGCCTCAACCATTATATGTTTTAGTTGTCTTTTACGCCTCAACCATTATAGGCAACACATCAGCTATCAGGGTATTCATGAGTAAAATACCATACACGCCTATTAGGTATCTCACATTTTTCTTGGGATTTCAATCATACGTAATGTGTTGCTTTTTTTATATTGACTTTGAAGATTTCAAGATATTGAAAACTTATATATAGACTTTTAAGCATATCAATTAACTTTCTGTCAACATAAATCACTTGAAGGGATTCAAACCTGTAACATTTAAGAAGAAACATATGAAAACAAGAAACCTTTCCCATAATGACATGGGGGCAATTCAGTTTGAGTGGATTAACAACTGAAGTTTTTCGAAATCTGTGAAATGTTTTCGTTTGCAATTGCTTAATTCAAATGCAATCGTACACGTTACAGTACTATGTGAAAAAAACAAAGCCTAAGAATTATATACATTCTTTTTTAAAATATCAAAAATCACAATAACTTTTAATAGGTGTCCGAGTTCTTATAATAACCTAACCATTAAAGGGTGATAAGGGGGGGGGGATGTTTGCCATCATGAATTGTTATGGTTGGGGGGGGGGGGGATAACTGGGGGAGAGGGATGCAACAATTTAACAGGAACATGGCCTTTGTCTTTTGAGGTATGCCAGTTATGAACTCAAGGGCCATTTCTTTTGTTATTTTCTTTGTTAAATTAAAGCTGTGGCCAATTTTCCTATAGTCAGAGAATAAATATGTTGTTTCTTCTTGTTTCTCAAGCAAACGACAGGGCAATTAAATACTTACTGCATCCATTTGAGGGTATCGAAACTAAGCTCTGTGCATTGATTTTTTCTGACAAGAGAGATTTCATTTTTTCTTTCAAAATTGCTTTTCAACCTATTTTTGCAATAGACTAGAACCACTTAATAGATAAAAGTATATCATTTCTCAGCACTTTGTGCTCTGGTGAGCGTTTGTGTTTTTTTTTATATAAATAACAACAAACACAAAATATAAAGAATCACAAGTATTTTTACTGCTAGGTGATGATTTGTCAACTATATGTATCTAACAGTGAAATGATTCCACATCTCAACATCATGAATACATTATAATAATAGGGAAATAAAACATTGTCATACCTTCATTTTAAGACTACCACAAATATATAAATGATACACTGTTTATATGAAATACTCTGACACTAATATACAGCACCATTTATATAGTATAAAGTGTAAGCAGTCAGTTTCAAAGATATCAACAGTAATTCAATATTCTTGCAAGCTAAACAATATTTCCTATCATCAACAAAAGAAAATGCTTATCATCTCATTCATACAATACTGCTGATATATTTTACCCCCTAGTACTTATATTATACAGCTATTACAATTTACCCCCTTGGTGTACCATGAATACATGTATAGAAATTATCCCTTAGCTAAAATTGCTGATTCCTAACTTGCATCTTTATTCACAAATTAATATACTCTTTGGAAAAAAAATCAAAATTTCAAATAATACAGCAGTTGTTCCATAAAAAGTTCTTGTTATATTATATTGAAATAATGTTTGACTCTCTCATAGATTAAGCTATGATGTGCACTCTTAAGGAACACATTTTTTCACATATAATATGTAAGTGAATTGATTTATTAAAAACATGGTGAACACAATAGTTTGTTTAAAACTTGTGACCAAGACCAAAACTTGCAATGAAATACCAATGTAATGATTTTTTTGTACAGCTATGTAGCAGTCAATCTGTAAACTAAAGCCTCCCAACCTCTGGTAATAGCAGGGACTTCCAACTTTTGTATCATCTAACTCCTTGTCAAACTAGCATGAGTGCAATGATAAAATTTCCAATAATATGCCCTCAGCCACACATAAGTTTTCAATATCCACTATTCTGGTAAAACGAACACAGGGACATGTGTAAACTGTATGTAAAAGTTATAAATATTTAAATTCTTAAAGAATTACTCTTACATTCTTTTAAACTGAACCAAAAAAATATTACAATGAGTAAGAAAACGATGCTTGTAACTAAGTTAAGATGATTTACCAAGCAAAATGATAAATGCTGAAAACACTAATAAACTGATTATAAACTAATCAATACTGTGAAATTTGTCAATAACTATACTTTTTATGACTACAGAACTTAAGTAATTTACCCAAACAAATAATACCTGTATGCTAAAGCTTTTAAGTTTCACATTTTACAAAAATGACAGCTAATGATTTAAATAATACATAGTAATAGCTAAAAATAACTAATTTATAAATACTAAAATGAATAATCACCCATCAAACACAAATTATATACATGTGCAAACTTATTTCAAAATCACCTTGTGTGCAAAAATAAATTAACTTTCCTACAATAATTTCTTTTTTAAAATAATACAATGGTGTGTGATTTAATGAAAGCTGAAAGCTTACTATTTATTTCACATTTCTTTGGTTAAAAAGCCTTTTTCTAGAATATAGTAAAGAGATCAATGGATAATAATAAACCTTAAAAATACGACTAGACCATCAAGAAATTTCTCCCCAACCACATCTTTTGGTAAGGAGTTGAGATCCCCTGGGATATTTGGAGGAAAAAAAGAGTGATAATGAATACCAAATTAAAAACATTTTAAGGGGAAAATTATTAACTTCTGACAATGGATTTGTCTGAAGGAGGGGGAAAAACATAGCGCCATTCTTAAATGATCTTTTAGAGACTATACTGCTTCTTCATTCATCATTAATGTATAATCAGTATTGTCATTAATCTATATTTAAATTCAATATCTATAAAAAACAAACTTTAAATTTGTTTGATGAAAACAATTGATTTTTGTAGCCCAAAGTTCAATCTGAAATTGAAGGTGATCAGTTAGAAATAGATAAACATGGACCATAATTAAGCAGCCCTAAATAAACAAAGTAAGTAATTCAACAAGGAAAGTTATTCAATAAATAACACACAATCAATTATTTGTTGCATCACATATACAATATACAATAATATATATCAATCATGTAATAACCATAAGTTACAATAAACACAAGCTATGAGGCTTTCACTGTCCTATTATAAAATTATCTCTTTTTTTAATTGAATGAAATTACAATTGTTGCATCAACTTTATTTAAATATTTTATCAAATTATTTAGATTTCTATCACAGATGCTGGTAAATGTCATCCTGGACATAAATATAAAACACATATGGGTAATTTCATTGACAATCTATTTAGCAATTTAATCAGTAACAACAATAAACAATGTGATAGTTAAAAAAACAACATAATTAATAAATAGAAAAAAAAGGTTTAAAATAAAAGTGGGACCATGGTTTAACACCGGTTAATATAAATTTCAGTCCTTACATACCATAGATGCAGAATATTTAGAACCATTTTAAACAAGAACCTTTGAAGTGTTTATTTTAAAGAGAAAGTATGATGTGGAACAATATAAAAAAAAAAAAAATAAAAAAAAATGAAGAACAAGAGGGCCATGATGGCCCTGAGATCGCTCACCTGTATATAGCACCCCCCCCCCCCGGGGCCAATTTTTACCCAAGGGCTTTTATTTGAACAGACTTGATAGACACCCATAAGAAGATGTTTCATGCTAAACATCTAAGTTCTAGCTCATTGGGTTTTTTAAAAGAAGATTTTTAAGTATTTACTATACACATATAGTTCAAAACAATGACACCCCTGGGGCAGGGCCAGTTTTGACCCCCCGGCTTTTATTTGAACAAACTTTGTAGATATTTACTTAAAGATGTTTCATGTATAATATCTAAACTCAAGCTATTTGGGTTTTTTCAAAGAAGATTTTTAAGTTTTTGCTATACACATATAAGGAAAATCAATGACCCCTGGGGCAGGGCCAGTTTTGACCCCAGGGCTTTTATTTGAACATACTTGGTAGACACCCATTAGAACACGTTTCAAGCTAAATATCTTAGCTCTAGCTCTTTGAGTTCTTTAAAAGAAGATTTTTTAAGTTTTTACTATATGCATATAGGGAAAATCAATGACCCCCTGGGGCGGGGCCAATTTTGACCCCAGGGCTTTTATTTGAACAAACTTGGTAGACACTCATTCATTAGAAGATGTTTCATGCTAAATATCTTAGCTCTAGCTCTTTGGGTTCTTTAAAAGAAGATTTTTTAAGTTTTTACTATATGCATATAGGGAAAATCTATGACCCCCTGGGACGGGGCCAATTTTGACCCCAGGGCTTTTATTTGAACAAACTTGGTAGACATTCACTAGAAGATGTTTCATGCCAAATATCTAAGCTCTAGCTCTTAGGGTTCTTTAAAAGAAGATTTTTTAAGTTTTTACTATATGCATATAGGGAAAATCAATGACCCCCCGGGGCGGGGCCAATTTTGACCCCAGGGCTTTTATTTGAACAAACTTGGTAGACACTCACTAGAAGATATTTCATGTCAAATATCTTAGCTCTAGCTCTTTGGGTTCTTTAAAAGAAGATTTTTTAAGTTTTTACTATATGCATATAGGGAAAATCTATGACCCCCTGGGGCAGGGCCAATTTTGACCTCAGGGCTTTTATTTGAACAAACTTGGTAGACACTCATTAGAAGATGTTTCATGCTAAATATCTTAAGTCTAGTTCTTTGGGTTCTCTTAAAGAAGATTTTTTAAGTTTTTACTATATGCATATAGGGAAAATCAATGACCCCCTGGGGCGGGACCAATTTTGACCCCAGGGCTTTTATTTGAACAAACTTGGTAGACACGTATTAGAACATGTTTCATGCTAAATATCTTAGCTTTAACTCTTTTGGTTCTTTAAAAGAAGATTTTTTTAAGTTTTTACTATATGAATATAGGGAAAATCAATGACCCCCTGGGGCGGGGCCAATTTTGACCCCAGGGCTTTTATTTAAACAAACTTGGTAGACACCTATTAGAACATGTTTGATGCTAAATATCTCAGCTCTAGCTCTTTTGGTTCTTTAAAAGAAGATTTTTTAAGTTTTTACTATATGTATATAGGGAAAATCAATGACCCCCCGGGGCGGGGCCAATTTTGACCCCAGGGTTTTTATTTGAACAAACTTGGTAGACACTCACTAGAAGATGTTTCATGCCAAATATCTAAGCTCTAGCTCTTATGGTTTTTTAAAAGAAGATATTTAAAGTTTTTTCTTTCGGTTGCCATGGCAACCAGAGTTCTGCATGGAATTAAATTCTTTGAACAATTTTTAAAGGTGACCACCAAAGGAACATTCCTGTGAAGTTTGGATGAAATTGGCTTAGTGGTTTATGAGGAGATGTCATTTAAAGTAAAAGTTTACGGACGGACGGACGGCCGGCCGGACGGACGCCGGACGAAAAGCGATCACAAAAGCTCACCCTGTCACTTTGTGACAGGTGAGCTAAAAATGTTTCCCCCAAGAGGTGTGACATTTAGTGAGTAATATAAAGTATATTTCATTGAAAGAATCTAATATTTTATGAATTGCAAGAAAACAAAGACAATAAATATAATTTATGCGAAAAAGAGTGAATTTTAGCATGTAAACTAACTACACTATATCTACATAAAATCATGCAAGCCATTTACCATCCCACATACACAATAAAGTTTATATTTTATATTGATACAATACAAACTTCAACAGTAACATTTTCCCTAAATACACATACATACAGTTTATTATTAAACTGAACTTAAAGCAATAAGCTGCATACCCTTGGTTGTACAATTACTTAATACCCTTAAACAATGTATAGTAAATACTGTAAAATAAAGTTGTTATAATAACAATTTCAGTAGAATTCACGATAAGATGATAAGAACCAGACTCATATGACTGTGGTTCTTGTTTAATTCCCTGAGCACAAACATATATTGCTTAATAAAAAATTAGAAACTTAAGCAAAACGTGGCCCATTCTAAGTAACAATATTTCTAAAAGTTTAAACGTAAAATATGCGCTTATATCAAATTTGATTTATCTATACATGCACATATATGCATGATACATGATAAATATAACTTTAAGACATATGTTAGTTTGTAATGGAGTATGTAAAGAATTGCATATGAAAAAACATCTTTTTATACATCAACTTTTAGCCTGGTAGCAGCAACTGATTCTACCAATGCAACTAGTGCAGACAAAGATTGTTTGTCTAATCAAGGTCTGCATTGTCCACTATTCATTCAGTATACAATCTTGAAATTTTCAACTAAAAACTAACAAAAGGTTTTGCCCAGATTAAAAGATAAACAAGTACATTTAAGATAGTTGGCATGGTATGGGTTAAGGCACAGTGGTCCCACACTTCCTTCAAGATTGAATGATCAGTTCACAGTGATATGAACAAAATACTCACAATACTTACAACATATGTTTTTCATTCTTAACAAAACTTGCGCTATGACCTTAAATGTTTTTGTGTAAAAGTGACAAACATTTTAAGAACTTATGTAATACTATACTGAAAAGAGCAAGAACTACAATTCAAATTAAAATGATACAGACTAGCATAACTTCAGGTATTCAGGGCTACACTTACTAAACTCTTTAACATTTTGTATACATCTCTTGACTACTAAATATAAATAAAATCATCATAAAATCAATTGCTAAAAACTCCAGGTTGCCTAATAACAGAACAACAATTATATATATTTAACTATAAGAAAGTGTGTGTTTCTGTTTGCTGTTTTTACATATGCTCTGGATGGTTCTTTAAACAGTTGATAAATTCCTCTACTGGCAAGTCACCTTTGCATATTTTATGAACGGCAGTAAACATTGGGAATCTGAAAAAAGGGAGATAATTATGATCAAGTGTGGGTGGTTATAGCAAAATGAGATTGATTAAATTGATAAAACCTGTTTTTAGTTGTAGTTAATCATTCTGCATAGATAAGACGGCTATCAAGTAGGTATTAGTATTTATTTAGAAGTACTGTTAACTTGTTATCTTTTTAATGCATGCTGGACATTTTATTTAAAATTACAACCTGATAACAAATAAATTTAATAAAGATATTTATCAAATAGCCGTGCCACTTTTACGATTCCATAAAAATGGTCTTAATGTTAGCGTTATACTATAGTCCCGTCAATGAAAAATGGTTCTTTTTCACTTCAAACAGTCTTTATTTTCCGTATGTGATATTTTCCGCATGTGATATATAATATAGAATATTATATTCGTGTAAGTTTAATACTAAATTTATTGAACTTGTTGATAAAAATAATATTATTGTCGCCAGAGGCTCGCATAATATAATTGTATTCAACTCATTCAATAAATTCAGTATTGAACTTTACACTCATTTAATATCCTCTATATATTGATAGAATTCTACTGCAGTAAACAGTAAAATAACAATATAATGCCTTACTTATCTTCCATATTTTTGCTCTTTAACATAAAGTTAACCTCCTCGGCTGTCGGTGGACCTTGTAGCTTCTGTCCATTGAGCATCTCTTGTTCTAACTGCTCGATTGTCTGGAATATATAATGTCTTATATTGAAATATTATCCTACCCAATTTTTGTAATGAATTTTCCCTACTTTGAACTTGGAACATTTCATTTATAGTTTAAGGGATGTCATTGAGGAAAATAAAATGTGTATTAGCATACACATTTAGAGCTAACTTTTCCATGAAGTTAAGCAACTTAAAAAAAAGGCATAAGTGCATTTGAATTATTTGAAATCCTCAAATTTATATTAATACATATATTACCAAGATTGGCTAAATGAACATAATCAAAATACATCCTTATAATATCTTGAGATCATTAAATTTTACAGCTGCTTACAAAACTTTTTTATTTTGCTGACAGAGCATGTTCAAGTTGATGTATACAAGAAAAAAACCCAAAGATTAACTGACAGCCAGTATATAACTTATAACTTGTAAATGATTATGTGTCACATATGAAAAAATAAGCTATCAAAACAAACAACATACCTTTCCTGCTTTAACAAAAGCAGCTGCTACTCTCCTATTTCTGCCTGCATAACAAGTAGTTACTAAATCAGCTACACCACAACTCTCTAAAAATGTACTCTGCGTCGATCCTAAAATAAAAACATAAAAAATTTGGAAAGTTTTGCAATGTAGTATATACTGAATACATTTTTTTGTTAGGCTTTATGTCACACAAAAAATGTATAGGTCATAGGGCGACTTAATACTTTACTGGTAGAAGTAGACCTTTGTAGCCTGGGTTCCGATCTATTGATTTTTTTTTACCTGCTTCTGTTCGGCAAATGTACATTTTAAAAACACGAATGAATATGAAATAGCCTATATGTTATGAATAAGGAAAAAATATCAACACCTAAATCCCATGGCTAAGACCTCAGGTGCCTCTCCAAGCATTATTTCAGGCACGAACAAGCACCTGAGTAGAACCACCAATGTTCTAAAACCTAGCTGGATAGTTTTCCAAAACATTAAAGGAACTGAAACCAGTAGCAGTGAGGGGCAAGTTGTGTGAAGTATTCGACTACAGACGCCCCTTTAACCGAATTCAAAACATGATAATGTTTACAAATCTAAATACTTGAAAATTAGAAACTTGGAAAGAAATGTGTATTCTTTTTTTTTCGTTAGGTTTTATGTTGCACCAACTTTGTATAGGTCATACGACGAATTCAAAGATTTTCTGCCATAGGAAGACCTCAGGTGCTCTTCCATGCATTATTTCAGGCACAAACTGGAACCTGAGTAGAACCACTGATGTTCCTTAAGCTAGCTGGATAGCTTGCTCGAATGAAAGAATCCAAAGTCCTTATCAGGATTTGAACCCACAGCAGTGAGGTGCAAGTGGTTTGTAGTCAACAACTTGTGTATTCCTATTACCTGTAATTTTTTTTTACAAATCTTCTTACATAACTGATATAATATGTCAGCAATTTGACAGAGTTATAAATATTTCACAACATATAAAAACCTACATGACTGATGATCAGACAGAAGATTTATTTCCTTGTTTTTTTTAGCAAGCTTATTTCTTGGAAATGTGCATTAAAAGAACTGCATCAAAAAAAATCCTTGGCAGTTTGCCAAGTTAGAACAATGTAATAATGTTAATGGAATAGTGTTATTCACATTTTTGCAATTTAGATCATTTAGTAGTAGTATGCTCATGTAACTTCTATCTTTAGATATAGAACACTACAGGTGATAGATAACACTTCAATTATTAAATCTCATTCACCAAATATCTCTTTAAGTACAATCTGAATATAAAAGCTAAACTCTTAACCAAGCCTTTAACACTGGTATGGAGCCAGGCCAGCCTGCATGACCCTGCAGTGTAACAAAACTCTAACCTGTTTAAAGACTATCTTCATATTCTTATCTTCATATCCCAAAAATTGAAAATGGACAGTTCCAAAAATGGCAGCTGGAAAAATCCACTTTATAAATTCAGCAAGTTAAAAGTTAATTAAACTACAACTAACCATGCCAGAAAGCTTCACAGAATTTCACCATTTCCATAAGACCTAGACGAATCACAGCTGCCTTTGTGTTATCACCATACCCTAAACCATCAGCAAAACCTGCTCCTGTTGCTACTATGTTCTGTAAACAATAAAATATTCAATATCAAAATATATCATAATTGTTATTATACTTACATTTTAATGAATAAATTTACAATCTTAAAGTTTTCAGGTTTTCACATATATCAACATAATTTAGGGCAAATAGCAATATGGATATTTCAAATATACTTAGGGTGAAAAAGACACAAGGTTTGAGTTAAATATTTTATATATACAAGATGGCATGTTAAAGAAACATTAAATAACAGATCCAGTCAACTGTGACCCTGGCCCCAATTCTAAGAAAATAACAGGGAAATTGGATTCACAGACACATGGTAAAACTATTGCCATGCATGGACAGTGAAATGGTAAAAATTTGCACTACACATCCTGTGCTACAAGTTTGCCATTGTCATATCCATCTGCTATTTTGGCATCAAAACAATACCAAAGCAGTGAACTTGCAGACTTTGCCCTTTTTCCACACCACCACCTGCCCTGCCCACCTCTGGGGACTGGGGAAGTGGGTGAGGGGGAGTAGGGTTGTAACAGACAATTGCATTACCTGCTTTGATTTAATTTTTATTTTTTGGTTCAAATGAAAACAGTATGCATATAAACAGCATTTTCCAAATTTTAAAATGGTAACAAAATGACATTTTCATGATGACAGGTAAAACCACCTGATTTCCCTGTAGTATGTGAATATTTATTAGGAAAACCTATAATTACAGTTTGGTTAATGTATTTTCATTGTTAAGGAGTAATAAACGCACCTTTAATGCTCCACACAGTTCTACAGTATCCTCATCTTCACAGACAACTATACGGAAATAATCTGCTTGAAACATTTTCTTCAATAATAATCCCTGAGACTTATCTTTAATACCTGTAACAAATAAAAGCTAATTTTTAAGAAGTTCTTATATAGATATTTAAGTGAACTTGCTTACCTGGTTAATGATTCATGTCCTTAATTTTTTATAATATGCTCGACTCACATTAACTCCAGGAATCTCTTCTTTTTTTATTTTAAGGGGTTTTCAACAATCAAATGCTCAAATTAAGCAAAAAACAGCATAGTCCTTGATCAGATAACAGAGCCGAACTTAATAGTGCTATCATAAGTAAGTATTGCCAGTAACATTCCCTTCTAAAAAGATTTCATCATACAAAAGAAAAAAATATTCTAAGGTAACAGACAAAACATTTGTCATCAGATGCCTGGTACCAAATCAACTGATTTTTAATAGAAATCTCAAGTAAAAGCCCACATTTGGTACAGACAATGTATCTGAGCTCCCTTATTTTGTTTACAAATTATGCATTTATATAGATAGTCATATTTCAATATAATTGTAAATCACACAAATTAATATAGACTTACCTATTGTGGCTTCACAATAATTTTCTGACGCAACTTCATTTGCAATATTGGCACCCATTAATACAGCACAGGGTATCTCTAATGTATTTACTACTTCTTCTGATATAAGGGCAATTCCACCACCTTCTTTCATTGAAAATCCCTTAAAATAAGAATATTTCACACTATAATACAGGAAAATATTTATTTCTTTAATTACTGATCAATTAACCATGAGACCAATTGCAGAAACCTTCAGCGGACAAAAAAGGCCAGTCTGTGCTCAAAAATGATGTCATTTTTGAGCATTTTAGAATGAAACTACATTCCTATTGGCCTTCGGGTACCTGCCATATGCAGCAAACTTGGCAAGCCTTATTTTACTAGCCCAAAGGGCAAGATCTGAGGACAGATATTCTGATCCGAAACTGCAACATATGACATAATATTAATATGTTCCACAAAATTATGCATTTATCACTGCAAAAGCAGGCAAAACAAATTTATTTCAAATGTCTATCTTAATCAAAACTTGATTGCATGTTTTGACATGATTATATATTTCAAGTGAAAATACTACTTACCTTAATTAATGAAACACCTAAGGCTGATTTTTTAATTGTTCCCTTTAGTTGATGAACAAACTTGCTTGGCAAGAACTGATGTGGTATCACAAATATGAAAAATATCAGCATCTTTTGCTGACTCAACAAGATCTGGAACAGCTATCTAAAAGAGAATATAAATAACACATTTTTTTACATTGAATTATATCATATATATATAATATATATAATATGACAATATTCAGCTAAAACCAAGATATTTATTGTATACATTCAACTATCTGATTTGAATACAACAATCACTTTTATAGTCACTATTAGCATTTAATGACAGAACATTTCATCCCAGTGTTCTCAATAATTTCTTTTATTGGCTGGTTTTTACGTCACACCAAAGCTGTAAAGGACTTTCCAAGATTGACTGGTAGAGGAAGACAATGCATTCAGGCACCTAAGTAGAACCAGCGACGTTCTGTAAGCTTGCTTGACAGTTTCTTGACATGAAATAATCAAAGTCCCTTGTTCAGGACTCAATCTTATGATGGTGATGGGCTAGTGGTTTGAAGTCTATGTCCTTAACCACACCGTCAGGATGCCCGTTTCACAATAACTTTAAATGCAACATCACTTAAAGAGATACATTTGTTTTGCTTACAATAAATTCTTCCAACCTATAATACATATAACTTAAGGGCAGCATTACAAATGCATATGGATATCTAAAGTAGAAAGCAGAATCCATTAAAAGACAGCTTCCACTCATTGGTATAAATCTTATCTTGTTTTCCTTCCATTCATTTTCTACCAAATTTCATTATCTAAATAACTCACCACATTTGTTGGTATTTTATGTCCTGGCAGGTATTTAACATTTTCATGATCTGTGTTAATGATTTCTGTAAGTTTTCTACCATTAACATCCTCCTCAAACACCCACATCTTAATCTCTGTCTCAAAATCATCCAACTTTTGTACATTGTTTCCTACCACTTTAGCAATAGCTGACCCCCTGAAGAAGATAGAAAATGTATATTTATATGCTAATATCATAGTGTAAAGTAAAAGTGCTAAATAATTTAGAGTAAAATAACCCAGAAAAGGATCTTATATAACATTCATTGCAATTTTACATAGACTTGCATTAAACTTTTACCAGAAATGTTACATGGCTTGACAAAACATCAGTGTATGAAATTTTTCTAGACTTAAGTTGGTCCATTTTTAATATTTATAAGTGTTTATGACTAATGATTACTCATGTCAGATCCTATATTACTCTTGCATTAAATCTGTGAACACAAGTGTACATTGACAGAGTAGGAAACATGCATTAAAAATCATTCAAGCAAATGTATCATTTTTTTTAACATGTGTGACTCAGGTTGCCATGCAAAAGTAGCTGACTGCAATGATGGCCCCATATAAATATAACTGTCAAAAGACATCACACTCTTCTGTTGGAAGCATTATAAATTTTTGCGGGCTCAGGCTTTATGTGCTCTCATGTTTCTGCAGATGTATAGGTGTTTTTGAACCCTCTAATACATATGTGTAAGAATATAATACAATGTTAGTTGTATATAAACATATACTTTCTCAATGAATGTTATATCAATTTAATATATCAGCCTTGCCAGGCTAAAATTTCTTAAAACTAGAGGATGCTTTTGTAAAAAAGCGCATGTCTCCCCCACTGCTGAGAATAACTGTGAATGGAAACAGGAATGGAACTGGAGAAATCCGGAAATGAGAAAATGACCAATGGTCACTGTGACCTTAACCTTTGACCTACTGACCCCATAAACAAGAGGGATCATCTGCTCAATAAGACCAATCATCCTATGAAGTTTGAGGGTTGTAGGTCTAAAGGAACTCTAGTTATCATCCGGAAAGGAGAAATTAACCAACGGTCGCTGTGTGACCTTGACCTTTGACCTACTGACCATTAAAACAATAGGGATCATTTGATTAATAAGACCAATCATCCTATGAAGTTTGAGGGTTGTAGGTCAAAAGGAACTCTAGTTATCATCCGGAAATGAGAAATTGACCAACGGTCACTGTGACCTTGACCTTTGAACCTACTGACCCCAAAAACAATAGGGGATCATCTGCTCTATAAGACCAATCATCCTATGAAGTTTTGAGGGCTGTAGGTCAAAAGGAACTCTAGTTATCATCCGGAAACGAGAAATTGACCAACGGTCACTGTGACCTTGACCTTTGAACTACTGACCCAAAACAATAGGGATCATCTGCCTCAATAAGACCAATCATCCTATGAAGTTTGAGGGTCTTGTAGGTCTAAAGGAACTCTAGTTATCATCCGGAAACGAGAAATTGACCAACGGTCAGTGTGACCTTGACCTTTGACCTACTGACCCCAAAAACAATAGGGATCATCAGCTCTATAAGACCAATCATCCTATGAAGTTTGAGGGCTGTAGGTCAAAAGGAACTCTAGTTATCGTCCGGAAACGAAGAATGGACGGACTGACGGACTGACGGACGGACGGACTGACGGACGGACAGGGCAAAAACAATATGTCTCCCCCCGAGGTGGGGGAGACATAATTATGAAATAAATCCTTCACATTTATCATTTTTTTATAAATAGGTCAAATTTTTTTATCAAATCTGCACAGGATGACACCTGAATTGAATTTTATTTTAATGTTACCTGTAAACTTACAGTTTAAGGCACTTGATTTGCAACTCTTAATATTGCTTTATATCAAATATATTTCACAATAAATGTTATGACAGACTTATTTTCTTAAAAAATATGTAAAGTACATGTAATGCAATAATTAAAGAAATTATGCATAACACACACCAAAACCTTTCAATAAGGGTTCGTTTCAGTATACATCATGCTTTTTTATGAAGTTTTATAAAATTATATATATCTAAATATATAATTAGTCTACATATATTTTTTTCAGGACTTATAATTTAATCAGCTATCAATTAAACTTTTTCATTGTCAATTATTAATGAATTTACAGTTCCCCAAAGTTTGTCTGCCAATGAAATCTCTCTATTTTGTTAAAAATTTTCCAAAATATTTACCAAACAGTGCTGTAACTCAACTGTATATATTAAATTTATATGTTAAATGAGCAGATTTAATGGACTCCACCTATTTACATGATGCACTCAAATTTGAATGGGCGGGCTAACAGTTGTAAGTCAGTTATAGGTTATATACAAAGTTTTAAGAAAAAGAAACTTATTTTCTTGAAACTCTGTATATACTAGGGCTGGGGCGAGTATCGGAGTACTCGGATAATCACGAATCAAAGTGAAAAATCGAGTTTGAATATTCGTAAGCCCAGAGATTGTGGATTGCGATCTTATTTTTTTTTATATACATTCACTGTTTCTCACACTCATAAAATCGAGAAAATAACAATTTGAGTTAATTCTATGAAGTTTACCTAAATACTATTTGCCGGTTAAAGACCAGGTAGTATGATGCTTAGCCAGGAAGTAATATGTTTCAAAATAAAACAAAACAAAAATACTCATCCAAAGTATAACAAGAGCTGTCGGTAGGACAGCAACACTCGACTATTCTTAGTGCTTGATAGTAAAAAAAATGCTTGATACAGTTACCTCCTCCTGTCTACAGGTTGGGGTCATGATGGTGAACAAGTGTGCAAAGTTTCAAAGCCATATGTCTATGGACTTTGAAAATATTTGAACTATTACAAAAACTTTAACATAAGTGGTTACGCCGACGCCGACGCTCGGGTGACTGCAATAGCTCTACTTATTCTTATCGAATAGTCGAGCTAAAAACATACAGCTAGTTTATATCTTATATGTTTAATGTTTAGAATTGTTGTTTTTTTTAAAATAAACATGTTTTTATAACTAATGTACATGTTTTTATGGGTGTCTTGATAACAACAGATTTGTGGTTCGATTTGTGAATCGTAAGTGCTGAATCGTGGTTCGGATCGGATCGTCACTTATCCGACGATCCACACCCCTAGTATATACCCTAAAACATACACTTAATGTGCCAGGACACAGGTATTATTTGTGTATGTATGAAGCTGAACAATCAGGTTTTGTGTATGTATGAAGCTGAACAATCAGGTTACTTGACTTTTATTCAGAATAATCAACCTGTGCATTATCAATACATTTTAGGGGTGTATTAGGGAATTTTTAATGGTTTATTTTGCAGCAAGCATTGTTGCTTATATGGATCACTACACTAAAACTGTACCCATGCATCTTCTATTTAGCAGTAGTTTGTCCATCATAAGCAAATTTTGTTTAACAAGCAGAAACAGTTGTAATAATAGTTTGAAACCATCTATATTTATAACTTGACCTATAAACGTTAACAATCTTTTCTACCTGATTATATAATCTGTCCTCCTTTAGGATAATTCAATGACAACACTAAAATCTTAATCTGTTTACCAATATATTTGAAATACAGATAAAAACGTCTAGACATGATTACACACTGCCTCAGTTTTATCATGACTCTATATATATATAATCAGTACAATATGAAATTGATAGTAATCCATTCTATTTTTGAAATTATTCTGTTCAAGTTCTGACACATTCAAAGCAAAGGTATTATCATATTTCCTGTACTTATTTTATGTAAGTATAAGCAGAGATATTTTAACAAATAACCGACCAATGTTGGTATATATCGCTGTGCTGAGTAAATGAAAAAGATTTCAACAGTGTTGGATCACTTGTATATAACCTCAGGGCCCTGCTAGCCTAATAAGACCATTTTTGCAATGCAACAGTATACAAAATATCTAGATATGGTTTCATATAATGCTCATCCCTGGCTTTTACAAAGTTAGACATAAAAAGTTTATTCCTATACAAAAAAAACTTAATATTAAGAGTGAACAACAAATAGAACTATATTTGATCCCAGAGGGATATTGTGAGAGGAATATTGTGATCAATTTTGTTGAGGACAAAAAGCAATGTCAAATACGTGAAGTCAGGGCCTTGTTAATACAAATAAGAAGTATAAAATGAGTTTTTACATACAAGCCAATTCTATAAAGGATTATATATAACTTTTGTACTGACATTAGGCCATCTCAAAAGCTAACCATTCTAGAGGTTTCATGCACAGATTTATATAAATAAAAGAAAAAAATCTGCAAATCTCAAAGCAGCAAAAGAAAAAAACCGAGCTTTAATTAGTAATTTATATCCTGTTCAAAAAGAATTTGTACATTGTTGTTTACATCTCTCTTGAAGACATGACTGTCTAATTTCACAGACATTGAAGTAGTTATATTAAGAGGATTGAAGACAATGTAAAGGGCAAATCAATCTCTAGACTACACTAAATCAATAAGAAGATTATAAGTCTGAGTGTTTACAGGCTAAAACAAAACCAAATCAGTACATGTACATGTACACACTATCAAATAAAATGATTTTATTGTTTATAAATTCATTGAAACTGTATATAATTATGTATATTTTGATAGAGGCTCATAGGGAAGACTAAGGGCTTGCCTAACTATGCCGCCTCTTCAAATACAGTTATTATTATCACTTGCCAAAATAACATTCCTCCAAAACAAAATCATGAACGTCTTTTTCTGATTCAAAATCTGCTACATTATATTCTGTTCTCAAATTCAGCATCTTAAAAATAATTATGCATTATTTTGTTTGATTTGGGTTTTACGTCACACCGACACAGTATAGGTCATTTGGCGACGTTCCAGCTTTACTAGTGGAGGAAGACCTCAGGTGCCCCTCCGTGCATTTTTTCAGGCATGAACGGGCACCAGAGTAGAACCACCGACCTTCCATAAGCTAGCTGGATATAGCTTAAACATAACACTCCAAAGTCCCTGTAGGGATTCGAACCCACAGCGGTGAGGGGCAAGTGGTTTGAAGTCAACGACCTTAACAACTCAGACATGGACGCCCAAATTATGCATTATTCATATTGGTAAACTTTCCTATATTTGTCAACTCTATTACACTAAAATA